TGCGGGGTCACCCAGCACATGGAGGGACCTGTTTGTCTCAAGCAGTTGCCCCAGAAAGTGGGTCCTCAAGGACCAGTGACTTTCAGTGACATTTGCCAGCTGCTTGTGTGATGACGACCTCCTGACTGTGAGGCCCTGCAGAGGTGGAGGAAAACTCGGTGTCGTTAGCCCAGGGAGGGGAGGGTAACTCTGTCCTATCTTCCTGGTTAGGTGTTTGGGGACATCTCACCAGACTCTCCTCTCAGGACTTATGTGAGGCCCTGAGCGTAGTGCGTGCACTACTGAGCGTAGTGCATGTCGGTGTGTGACAGGACGTGCACTAAGCCAGCAGTGAGGAGGTGAGCCTCGCAGCCCAACAGGAGCCTGCCGTGTCCCCTCCTCCTCCAGAGCAGTTTGGGTGGCCGTGCCGTGTGCTGGAGCACGTGTGGGGCAGCAGTCTGACCGTTGCCTGCCCTGTTTTAACATTAGATGCTAATGGCTCTGACAAGTTTGGGGTCCAATGGCTGTGAGTCTTACCTGGACTGGTCACACCGATTAGGAAAAGCCTTTGTCTCCCCGGCTGCAGTGGGGAGGCCTTGACACCATTAAGGACACAGCAGGACCCCGAGGCGGACAGGAGGCACCCAGTTCCCTGGCTCCTTCCCTCCTCACCCGCCACTGCTGCATGGAGGCCTGCACTCAGGCAATAGGGCTGCTTCCATCTGTGTCCCTACTCGCGCCTGGTCTGTGGGCTGCTCCCCTGAGGACTCCCCTACCCCGACTCCTGTTGGAGGCAGAGATGAACTGGCTACCGAATGGATGCCTTAGAAGCGCTGCTTATTGTGCAGCCTCTGCTTCCAGATGACCCAACAGAGTGCGTGGCTTTTCCTATAACTCAGTTTTCACGTCCCTAAACACCTGAGCGAGGGACCTGCCTTTGGTTGGTTGGTGCAATGAAAGAGCTAGTCTGCAGTCTGCATAAGACAGATGGCATCAGCAGACATCCTGGCAGAGGGCTACCCACAGGAGCCATTGGGTGATGGGTGCCCCCACCCTGGGCACTCTGAGGGGAGCCCAGGAGGAGCCCAGTCTGGGAGGGGATACTGGTAACAGTCCCTTCCCATTGACTACTGCTGGAACATCTTAAGTGGATCCCCTCAGGTCCTCCTTTGCTTCACCTCTCTTCCTTGTCCTATAGAATAAAGAGGTAATATGCAAATTGACCATATGTGTGTCCTCGCACAAGATGGCCACCCCCATGTGGTCAAGGGTAGCCACCCCCATGTGGTCAAAAGATGGCTGCCACAAGATGGCCAGCAGGGGAGGGCAGTTGGGGGTGACCAGGCTGGCAGGGGAGGGAAGTTGGAGGCAACCAGGCCATCAGGGGAGGGCAGTTGGAGGTGACTGGGCCTGCAGGGGAGGGCAGTTAGGGGCAATCAGGCTGGTAGGCAGAAATGGTTGGGGGCAATCAGGCAGGCAGGCAAGCAGTTGGGAGCCAACAGTCCTGGATTGTGAGAGGGATGACCAACTGCCAGTTTAAAACAGCAGTCGGGGTCCCAGATTGGAGAGGGTGAAGGCTGGGCTGAGGGATCAGGGTGGGAGTCCCCCTGGGGTGCCTGCCCAATCTGGGTGAGGGGCTGATGGCTGTTTGCAGGCTGGTAAAGCCCCCCAATAGAATAAAGAGGTAATATGCAAATTGACCATATGTGTGTCCTCGCACAAGATGGCCACCCCCATGTGGTCAAAAGATGGCTGCCACAAGATGGCCAGCAGGGGAGGGCAGTTAGGGGCAATCAGGCTGGTAGGCAGAAATGGTTGGGGGCAATCAGGCAGGCAGGCAAGCAGTTGGGAGCCAACAGTCCTGGATTGTGAGAGGGATGACCAACTGCCAGTTTAAAACAGCAGTCGGGGTCCCAGATTGGAGAGGGTGAAGGCTGGGCTGAGGGATCAGGGTGGGAGTCCCCCTGGGGTGCCTGCCCAATCTGGGTGAGGGGCTGATGGCTGTTTGCAGGCTGGTAAAGCCCCCCACAGTGTGGACCCTCACTCCATGGAGGTTTGGCCAGTCTGGGTAAGGGGCTGAGGGCCGTTTTCAGGCTGGCCAAGCCCCTGGGCGATGGAAGCTCCCAACCTCTCCTTTTTTTCTTTTTTTATTCTGGGATTTATTTACCTTCTATAATTGAAACTTTGTAGCCTTGAATAGAGCTCAGAGCCAGCCAGGGTGGGTGGGAAGCTTGGCTTCCTCCATTGTCAGGGACAACCCAGCCTCCTGCTCACTCCAGCTCCGTGGCCATGGCCAGCTGAAAGCAGGTATTTGGGGTTTATTTATTTTCTATAATTGAAACTTTGTTGCCTTGAGTGGAGCTCAGAGCCGGCCGCGGCAGGTGGTAAGCTTGGCTTCCTCCATCACTGGGGCAACCAAGCCTCCTGCTTGCTCTAGCCCCATGGCTGCCGGCCGCCATCTTGGTTGGGTTAATTTGCATATAGTCACTCTGATTGGCTGGTGGGCGTGGCTTAAGGTGTAGCAAAGGTATGATCAATTTGCATGTTTGTCTTTTATGTATGTGTGTGTATGTGTGTGTATATAAAACTTTAATATGCAAATAGACCAAAAGGCTGAACAATCGAACCAGTTGCTATGATGTGTGCTCACCATCAGGGGGCATGCACAGAACATGGTGGGCATCAGCTGTGGTGGGATAGTGGAGCAAGTGAGTGGGGGCACCAGACCAAGGCAGGGCACCAGTTGCTGTCACTGGGGCAAGCCTCTGGTGGTTACTGAAAATTCTTTGCTCCTGCGCCGCAGTCCCACCGGGCGCTTCCACCTTCTGCTGGCACTGGCCCCACTTGCACCTGCTGCAGGCCCCGATTACCACTCTGGGCTTCTCCACCTCCTCCTGCTCCTGAGAGGCAACTGGGGCAATAGCCACTGCTTGCACCCACTGATGGCGCCAGACCCAATCACTCCGCGCAGTCAGCGGGTGTGAGCCATCAGTGCATGGGAGCAGCGGTGGCGGGAGCAGGGCTTCTGGCAGACAGGGGACGGGGAGCCTCAGCGGGAGGAGCCAGGCAGGGGTGCAGAGGATGGGCCAAGACCCACCCCTGTGCCCACCGCAGCCTCACGGCCCAAGTTCCTTTCAAGGTGCACAGATTTATGCACTGGGCCTCTAGTTTTGCATGAAGAAACAACAAAGAGGATTGTCAAACACATCTTCCATCTTCCATAGGACGGCCTTGGGCTCACCCCTCCCACTTAGCAGACAGAAAAGGCGGGGTGCCTCCAGCACAGCCCCACATCTTGCTCTGACTACACGTCCTTGACCCCCACATCTCCAAGGTGTTGCCATTCACATTTCCACCAGTACAAGCATCATTCTCCACGGGTGTGGGGGGAAAGGTATTCCAGTGGAGTTAAAGTTGCTGGTCTTTGATGGTATTGTAAGACTGAAAATGGAACCCTGAGCGTGTGGGATTTGGTTGTTTCCCTCCTACAGTGGACCCTCGGCCCCTCCTTACTCTAGGGCAGCCGTGGGCAAACTACGGCCCGTGGGCCAGATCCGGCCCGTTTGAAATGAATAAAACTAAAAAAAAAAAAAAAAAAAGACCGAACCCTTTTATGTAATGACGTTTACTTTGAATTTATATTAGTTCACACAAACACTCCATCCATGTTTTTGTTCCGGCCCTCCGGTCCAGTTTAAGAACCCATTGTGGCCCTCGAGTCAAAAAGTTTGCCCACCCCTGACCTAGGGCCATCGCTGCCTTTTCAGGGAAAAGTTTACTCCTGTGTCTGCTTCTTTAGAAGTAACACCCTGGTCTGCATACACCCTCCAGTCCTCTCCCTCAAATAATGCTTCAAAAGCAGCCAGCCGTCACCAATGCGCAACGTTCACCGCTGACACCGCGCCACAGCGGACACCGCGCCACAGCGGCCAGCTGCAGGGCTCTGCCAGGCCCGGTCCTCTCTCCAGGAAAGCACTGACGTTTCCGGTGAGTTGACTGTTATCCAGGAACACTGGCGGGGCTTCCTCCAAAGCATAATCACCAGGAGGGGCCGGTTCTGGTTCTAACTCATACGTTAAACCAATGCTCTTAGGAAGCTGCTGGCCAAAGTTTTTGATATTTTTTTCGATGGGACTCTGCCTGCTAATTTTTTGGTGGATAACCTTTCACTAAAATATGGCGTGGAATTTCAAAGTAATGTATAATCTCTTTAAGAGAGCGGCCAGCCAGGCAAGTTGGGACACAGAAAGGAAGGGGAAGAGATGGAGAAACGAAGCTAAGTGAAAAACCGGGACAGGGACAGGGGCAGGGACAGCTTCCCAGAAGGTGCACCAACTGGCAGGGGCAGACGACCTGCTCCCCAAAGACTCGGCTAACAAAGGGGTGAAACACATCACCATCCACTGAGAGTACCAGTGGGAACCAATTCCTCCTCACCCGCCCTTTTGTGCTTTGGTTCTTCTCCAGAAAACGGAAGGAAGCTGGAGGGGGGTGACCTGGTTACCCTGACCTCCCCCCACCCCCCGCCAGGTGCCTGGACTTAGGGTCACGAGCAAGAGTGTCTGGGAAGGAGGCGGAAAACCCCCAGGTCCCCCTACAACTTGGCTCCTGAAAAGGCAAACTCCCGGACTCAGTAAGTCTTAAGGTAACAGCATTATATTAAAGTGAAACCATTTTCTTTTTAAAAAAGAAAGAAAAAGGTACGAGTGTTAGTTTGAACAATGAGGTTATGAGTTCCGGGCAGCTGGGCTCTGACCACTGACCCTTTCAGTGCTCTGCTTCCTGCCCCCGCAGAGGCACCAGGGGACCCCAGCGCCTCCGGGCGGCAGCAGGGGAGGCAGCGTCCTGCCGTTCAGGAGCAGCCCGAAGCCCAGGCGGACGGAAGGACGGGGATGTGAACGCAGCGTGTGGAAGCTTCCGTGAGCAGCCGGCACCTGCCCCCAGGTTAGCTGAACACCGTGTTGTGCTGCTGGGTCACACGGATGAACGTCGTTCGCTTGCTGAGCTCTTTGAGCTTAGCGGCCCCCACATAGGTGCAGGTAGACCTCAGTCCGCCCAGAATATCCAGGATCGTGTTTTCTACGTCTCCTCTGTAAGGCACTTCCACGGTCTTGCCCTCCGACGCTCTGGGAGAGAGAAAGGAAGTGCTCCTTTAGCCCGGCTTATCTTCCTTAGGCACCATTTGTTCTAGCCCCTGAAGCAGCCCCAGGGCCCTCGGGTAGCCAAATGCCTCTGAGCCCACGCCCACACTGCCTCACACACCAGGCTGGCCCTGCCCGCACCTCAGATGGACAGGTCCTCCCACCCGAAATGCCTGACCTCCTGCCGGCTGCTCCGAGCACCAGGGAAAGGAGTCTGTGAGAAACACAGGCTGCAGACCCGGACCTGCCCAACGGCATTCCACTCAGCAGCGGGCCTCCCCGCTGCCCCACAGAAACTCACTTCACCTTTCTCCCCACCTGGATCTGCACACCTGTCTCCTGCTGGCCCAGGGCCCAGGGGCAGGAGAGCAGACGTGGGGGATTACCTCCAGGCCAACCCCTGCCACCCCCCTTCTGCTCGCCCGCCCTGATCAACAACAAAAGAAGCCTGGAGCTTCCCCTCCTGCATCCAGATCAGACTCTGAGTGTCTCCAAAGGAGTCAACCAGGAGGAGGAGAAGGAGGAGGAGGAGGAGGCTGCCAATGAAATGAACACCCCTAACCCACCAGGTTATGTGGGCACCTCCACCAGCAAGATGCAGCGGCTCCCCCTCCCCTCCAAGGCCTGCCTTTCCAGGGGGCAGGGCGCTTTGTCGGGCACATTCCCCCAGCTCACGCCTGCACTCACGCAAGTCATACACCTGTCGTGCTGGGTGTGGGGTAAGGTCCCAGCGAGGTGGAACCAGCGTAGAACTCGAGTCTTTTTTTAACATCGAGACGTGAGGGCTTTGGTTAGCATCTTTCCTGCTTTCAGAGGCGCATTCAGAAACTCAGGTCTAGTACATAGTGCAAGCCCTGAGCAGTATCTGTCCGTGCTGAGTCGGCCCCTCTCCACAAAGTCTCCAAGTAACACTGACTCCACACGTCAGGTCCCCTTCCTGCCAAATGGGGACTCGGTCCAGACCTGCTTTTGGAGACACAGGGCAAAAAGGAGATCCCAAATCTATGCAAAACGCTAGCCCCCACCTAAGGGCCAGGCAATCTGGACATTTTAACAATTAACCAAATTGTTACTGGAACTTTCTCTAGCTGGTCTCTGCAACTGTTACAATACTACATCTTGATTAGAAACTTACTGCCTCGAATTTCAAAAGGGAATAACTCTTGTACACTGAAATCTACACATGCAAGACTACCCTCGGATGAAATCTATGTAGACCATCCACTAGACCAAGGGCTGGCCTAGTGGCTGGCTTAGGGCACTGAGATGATGAAGCAGCAGACTCATGTCACTGCGCTCTGTGACCAGAGACCAGCGTCTGTGTACGCGTGCTGCGATGCCTGCCTGCCTGCCATTTCATTTTCTGAGGCCTGGGCCTTCCGGGAGCTTCCTGGAAATCACTCAGATTCTCATCCCGGTTACTGGTGACAGCACCTTTTGCAAGTCATTTACTGCTGATGCTCAAGTCTTCTCATCTATAAAACAACGGTACTTTGATCTCTCTCCCAAGGATGGGCAGCGTGAGAACCGAATAAATGGTTAATGACTGGGAAGGAACTAGCACAGCATAAATAACGGGTCTTCATTAAATACAATGTCAAATAGGAGAACCATTCTCATGAGGAGACAATGGTGATGAGGCTGCAAACACCCAGGAAAAGAGAAGGAAAGAGGGAGGGAGGAACAGGGAGGAAGACAGAGAACAAATACAGCCTGCAGGACTCAGGCTGCCTTTGGATCAAAGTCCTGGTTCCTTCCGTGCGCCTCTTCCTTGTCTAAGATTCGAATCCGCTTTCAGATACGAGTCTTGCTGCGCCTGAATATTTTATCTCCTGTTGTGTCTGGGCCCTGCTGAAATGACAAGGGATGATTTTTCACTTGGCCCCTTGGGCTTCTGTCGTGCTGGGGCCTCGTCGGGCCTTCCCTGTCTGCTTTTCTTAGGACCCGAAACAGATGCAACAGCTAGAGGGCAAACAATGCACTCCAGGCAAAGCAGCCGGCTGCTGCCCCCCGTGGATCCCCTTACACCACAGTGCCCAGGAGACCCACCCCACCTGGGATGTGACAATGGCTGCTAGGAAAGCGGGGAGCTTGGCCAGAGGTCCAGGTTAGCACCGAGCAGCAGTCCCCACTCCTCCATCAGTCATCACATGGGACAGTGGCCTCGGGCTGCAGGGGAAGGAGTGCGCCCTTGTTCTGACCATCGGAGGTGGCCAGGTGAAGGTGTAAATGCAGTCAGTCCCCTACTCCTCTTTCCCACCCTGCCTTCCCCATGCAATAATGTCCTATTTATTGAGGTCCCCCCACAAGAGAAATACTGGTGAGAGTGAGGACTGAAGTCCCCGGTTCCCTACTGAAGAAAGAGCTTGAGAGATGGTGCCCCACACCGCCCCTGCCTGCCCGCACGCCCACTGCCAATCTCTGGGAGTCCTGATGTTTTCCCTCTGGATTGGTTTGAAGCTTATATGATGCATCTGAATCCCATGTCCTTACAACAAGCGGTTAGGTGTGGCAGGAATGGTCGGACATGGAGGGTGTCGGCCACAGAGGCTGGGGTTCCCTCCCAGGGCCGAGGCTTCCTGGGGAAAGGCAACCAGTCCCCCACAGAGGACTTCCTCCTGAGGATACAGGGCCTCGTCCTGCCCCCTCCATGTGCCCTGGCATCAGCGCCAACCCCACTAAGGCCGCTGTCCCATGTGGTGACTGATGGAGGAGGCGGGGACTGTTGCTCTGCTCGGTGCTAACCCGGACCTCTGGCCAAGCTCCCCGCTTTCCCAGCAGCGATTGTCACATCCCAGGTGGGGTGGGCCTCCTGGGGCACCAGCAGCCTCTCTGGAGCAAAGCAAGGTCACAGGTATGTTGTCATATAAACACACATGCAGACAATAAAATGGAAGTGATTTTAACCAATGTTGCCCCAATCAATCTAATTTAAAAGTAAAACAATAACATAGATGGAAATGAAATAAAGGCCAGGTTATTTGGGGGGATCATGGGTTAAAAAAAAAAGAACAGCAGATGTGAGCATCCCTTCTACAATGAGGACAATGACATGGCTAAAATGCTGCCTGTTTCAACTGCCAGAGCCTAGATGGCCAGTGTGAGCCCCTGTAGGTGAAACACAGCTTTCTTCAAGAAAGCCGTCCTCCACGTGATGGTCCATAACCATTGTTTCATACGCAATGGAGACCCTTCTTCACCCAATTCTCGCAGTCTGAACTCATCCCGGGCCAGAGGTCAGAGGTCACTGGGAGAGGTGAGCAGAGGCTCTACCAGAAGGAGGAGGCGGCTGGCCCCCTCTGAAAGTCTGGAGCGTCATGGCGGGGACTGGCTGAGCTGGAGCCCTCCCGACTCACACACACCCCAGTCCATGCCCAGCCCATCCCCAAACAGCTCTGCTATCACTGCCTTTTGAGGGCCCCCAACACTGCAGACTAGCTGGGTGAAAAACATGGCTACTTCCAAAGAGCAAGATAGGTTTCCTGCCCCTGCCCATGGTGCTTTGCTATAAAGAGAAGCAATGTTCTTCGAGACCTACTTCCACCCAATTCTGAAAGGAGCAGGAGAAACGTGAGTCCTCATGGGAGAGAAGCCTTACCTGTACTCGGCCACCCCTCCTGCGTGTTTCTTCATCGCTGTTTCAGAACTCATCCCGTAGAAGAGCTTGAGCTTCTGCCCGTCCCTCTCGATCACCTCTCCAGCACACTCGGTGTGGCCCGAGAACATGCCTCCGAGCATCACAAAGTCTGCTCCGGCTCCTACACGCCGAGCATGGGACAGGAGGAAGCAGCAACGGAAAGAGCTCAGAGAAAACAGGCTCTGGAAAGATCCAAGTGCTACCCCCACTCACCATCCCGCCACCAAGAGCTCTCGTCCAGAGAGAAGCCCATCTCTCCCCTCCTACAAACTTAACAAGGGCCAGTCCTCAGTCGTTAACAATGAGCACCTTCCCAAGGCTGGACTTAGAATCAGAGAAATGTTAGCAGTTGAGCAGCATTTTAGGCTGCCCGCTGTCATCTCCTTAATGCAGCAACTGCTCTACACGATTCCCCCAGGCGTCTGGTCTACCTTCAGCTCTCACACGCTCACACTGTGCAGGTCGTGAGACCTCGGAACAGACTGAACCTCCTATACTGGACTGGCATGAAGGAGAGAAACCTGCACGTATGTGTGTATGCATGTATATGCATCGTGTAAAACTCTACCTCACACCTCTGTTGTGATGTTTGCCTTCTAGGATAAATAATATCCCATATTAATCACCAAATGGCATGAGACTTCCAGGCTAGGTGCAGAGGACACAGGGGTATGGAAGCTGCCTTTGAAAGCTACATTGGAAGAGGTCCAGGAGCAGCTGGAACAGCAGGACTGGCCACTGCTGTGTCCCCAGGGTCAGTCACAGTGCATGGCACATGGGAGAAGCAAATGCCTAGTTGTCGAGGAAGTAAAGGGTGTGTGTGAAGAAAGAGAAACAGTCCCCACCCCCACCCTGTCCATGGAGCACTGTGCAGACAGGGTCTCCACCGACTGCTACAACCTGCCACAAACCGCTGCAGCCGCTCCCCAGAAAGTCCTAGTGAGGGTGCACATTCGGAACACGAGGACACCAGGGTACAGAAGTACTAAGTGACTAGAATGAAGGATAAGGAGGAGCAAGTATACGAACCCCTGAAAAGTGGCCGTGACCTCTTCCATCTGGTTGTTTACTAGTAAATAGTTATAAGAGGACTGGGGGGCGGGGCGGGGGGTGATGGCCTTACAGTCCCTTCTGCGCAGCATCACTGACAGGCAGGCTGCACCAGCGGGCCCTTTGGCCCGGCACCACAGGGCCTTCCCACCTGCAACCAGCTTTGAGGCCATTCCTTGCGGGGTCCCTAGCACAGATGCTGGCTCCGTGGCCCCTGCGCCATGATTATAAGGTGACTGAGAAAGCTGGTGTCCGCCAGGCCCCCGATGACCACAGCCCGGGAGCAGATGGAAACACAGGAGCACAGACACAGGTCCTCAGTGGCGCTTTGAAGCGGCTTCTAATTAACCTCGTTTCTGACCCCTCTCACGGCCTTTCCCACCAGCACGTTCCCTGACCCAGTCCCTCTCCTCACGCTCTCCAGCTCCCCCTGCACTTGCTGGAAGGGGAGTTGATGAGGGAGTGGATGCCAGGAACCTTGCCCAGACCTCCTATCTACAAGGCTCCTTCTTTGGGACAAGGCATTTTAAAGTGTACTCGGCTCCCACTCAGAGCAGGGACATGCGTGCACCATTAGCAGGAGCCCAAGATGGAACGCCCAGCAGCACTGAGAAGATGCTGTTCAAAAATCAACAGTAGAAATGTCCTTGGCCGGTGGTCCGTCCATCGGGGTGACGGAGCGTGCCAGGAGGACAGGAGGCCTGTGTGCTCCCTGCTCTGCCCTGAGGGTGGGACCCTGACTTGGTCATTTGCCTCTTGGAGCCTTGTCCCCGGGACATTCTCCAGGGTTGCTACTAACCCAGTTACTGAGAACACTGCCCCATGTCTCCTTTGGTCACGATCAGTGTTTAACAACAGAATAAGAGCCAGTGCCCAATCCTAGGCCATTCTAAGGGGTGAACTCTAACCAAGTGACGGGGAGGCACACGGGTGAGGGGAAGAGCCACAGGCATCCCTCACGTCAGAAAGTCTCCCTTCACCAAGAAAGAACAAATAAATAACCACAAATGTGACTGTGAGGTCAGGAAAGGAGGGTGGAGCCAAGGGAGTTTGGTTTCTGTCTCCTGCCAGTCAATACACAGGGCGCCCACTTCACAGGCTGGGGAGCCTAGCTGTACAGGCAGTTCTGACTTCTGAACAAGGAAGTTTGCACGGGTTAAGCTGGGGGGGCGGGGGCGTGTGCACAGCATGTTGAGGTGCTGAGGTGCTTTCCTGAGAACAACCCACCAGCTCACAGCTGGACACTGCTGCCCCCTAGTGGGGAACGGGCTCCTCAGCCTCCTGTAAGAAACTGCTTCTGAGAAGCCACCCCCGCTATGGGGTTTCCCCACAGACCCTCCCTGTAGTTACTGCGTATTTGGACCTGGTACTGTCCTTTCTACAGGGGCCCGAGCCTTCTCAGCTGTGATTTCTGAGCCGTGACTTCGCCCACCCCTGGCCTGCAGGATGCCATCCCTAATTCTACCCCTGGGTGCTCGGCGGCTCTGCCACCAGCCAGAATGAAACTGATGCCAGGGTTTGGGCCAGTGGGGCCTGAAATCCAGGGAGAGGACACTCGGGGCTGGCCCAGAACATCCCTGCAGGTCCCACCTCCTCCTTCCAGATCCCACCCCCGTTCCAGGTTCCCACCCCACAGCCAGCTCACAGCGGCAGGGCGCTCCCTCCCGCCCTCCATTCTCCTCACCAAAGGCTTTGGCGACATCTCCTGGACACGTGCAGCCTCCATCCTTCAAAGAGGAGAGAGCAACAAGGATGTCAGTGGGAGCTCACCAGGCCCCCCCTCTCCCCTGGGGTGCTGGGAGTTGATACCCATACCCACCCCCCAGCCGAGTACACAACCCTCAGAGCCAAAGCCCAACACTCCCCTCAGCAAGCACTTTCCACCCCGGCCCTGCCCTCTGCCTGGGAAGGTGCTGGACATCAGAGGGGCTCCGACCTCCTCCTCCTCCAGCCCCTTACCCAGCACGCCCAGCCATCCGCCCTCCAAGTTCACTCTCATTCAGCAGTCAGCTCTCCCCACCTGCCTGGCGTGAGGCGAGATTTATTTAGTACAAGGGCTGAATTATTTTAAGAGCCAGAAAGGACACTGAGTTCATTCCTTTCTGTTTCCAGGCACTCCGTGTTTCTAATTCCCCTTCATGTAATGTGCCCAGTTACCTTAGTCTGACACCCACCCTCCCCACCCAGCACAGTCTGTTATCCTGGGCTGCCTGGTGGGGTTATGTTTAAACACCAGCAGCCAGTACCCGGTTCCCCAGATGCAAAGCCACCATGCTTCCTCACATAGACAAAGGGCGCAGCGTGACCAGGCTCCCTGCTATGCGCAGTGTGGCTGTGTGGGGTCCAAGCAGGCGAAGGGCGCGAGGGTGGTCTGGAGCAGCTGCCAGACCCACAGGGAGAGGCCAGGAGGCAAACACACGGGGCAGGCAGGCTGGTGCTCAGGGCAGCGAGATGTGACAGAGCCCAAACTCAGTGCAGGTCTTGGAGAAACAGCAGGTCTCAGAGCGAAGGGCCTGCTGCCCAAAGGTGGGACCCGCCCTCAGATTGGCAAAGAGCACTGGGAAGAACACAGACAGCCTTGCTTTGCAATTGGCAGGAAGGTGGGTGCGCTGCTGGAGTTTCTCTTTCAAAGGTACAACCCATATGCCCTTCACGTGTCCTGCCAATTATTTTTAAAGTGCTTTACCTCTTTATCTAAATCAGGACAACACAATAGGGTTTCAAACCTATAACCTCAACAGAGGATATAAACTCATGCTTCTGTTAAAATAGGTCCCTAACAGCCCTGGCTGGTATTCTCGATGGTTAGAGCATGGGCCTGCATATGGAAGGGTCGCAGGTTCCATTCTGGGGCAAGGACATGTACTGGGTTTCGTGTTTGGGGAGCATGCCGGAGGCGACCAGTCAATGTGTCTCCTTCACATTTGATGTTTCTTTTTCTCTCCATCCACTCTCTCTGAAAAAGTAATGGAAAAGTATCCTCTGGTGAGGATTAACAACAAATAGGTCCCTAACGATATCTGACTTTAAACACACACACACACACACACACACACACACACACACACACACACACAC